CTTCAATTTCCATTTGAATCTTGTCTAATCATGATATGTAGTATTATGCGTTAGTAAATACTATTATCATTTAAGATGCAAATTCTCATTTCAAATTTTACTTGCATCAAATCTTTGCTGATATTTGAGCAATTTAAAGGCATTATCATTTCAAGCCATATAAAATCTTCTGCTGTAATAGATAACAATGTTAAATGTCAGATCAACGTTAGTTGCTGTCAAACTTTCTCATAGCTTCAATTCCAGTCCACATTCACTTAAATAAGTTATAAACATAGCAATTAGAGAGCCTACAAACTATTCTTTATTTTAATTTTCTAAAACATTGAAAGTATAATCTTTTCAATGATGGTAAAATTAATCAAAATAATGCTATTTGCTTAATCTTAGATCACTGAGAAGAAATTCATTGCATTGGTTTCGAGTTATTTTACAATGATATCAAAGTTTGATAACAAAAAACCTTTGATCAACAATTTTTCGATAAATCACGCAAAAATCAAGAAAAGCAGTGATGAAGCAATTATAATTCTTCTATTACTCTTTAGATGCAATTGTTATGAACTGGTCCAGTGGTACTATTGCTGTAAATCGGTTTAATGGTACCATTACTATAAACTGATCTAATGGTACCCACAGAACAAATAAGCAGTCTGATTTTTTTAGCATTTAAAGTAGATTTACTAGCAATCGTTAATAACAGCTGTCCAATTAATGCATAGTACTTTTTGTAAGATATAGATAAGTATATGAATATTACATATTCAATTCAAGAAAATTTCAAAGCGCTATTTGCGTCTGATATTTTTAGCTCATTTATACGAAGTATCTTGGAGACGTAAAAATTCAGGCAAATTGAATTATTTGAAGGAAGCATTTTTTTTCCCTTCAAAAAGAAAAAAAATGATTGATAAGGCAAATGATTTGTAATACTTCAACTCTATTGATTGTTAAACTCATAGATTATTATCACATAGTCAAAACAATTTTGATACTGAATCACTTTGCTTGCTATTCAGGTCATAAACCGGTAAGTGGACACGCACGATTCTTAGAAATCCGGCGCATTTCGTTCAAAATTCTCAATTATTCAAGTATATAAATAAAAGCAGCTATTGGAACATAGCAGCTATTAGGACAACTTAGTAACAAAAATGCTCTCTTAACTGATACAGACGCCTTAACTCTCCTGGCTTATTATACCTGGATCAATTAAGATTTTATCCATTTTCATAGTTAATCAATCACATATCATTGTCATAAAGTTTTCAAGCAAATTTTTTCGTCTTTTATTTGCATTATATCATTTGATTTGATTCAGCTTTATTGCTAATTTTCTTAAAGCATTTCAACATCAGCGGTTTTTTTAGGGACCAGGAAACATTCTCGAGCAGATGTTTAATAAATAGAATATTTTTAAGCAAAAAAAAAACTTTATCATCATCTTAAGCATAGATTAGATCAAGAGATAGCAATCTTTTGATTCTCCGAATCCATTTTGAGTGACTTAATTTGTTGCAAAATTTGATTGCAGCTATTTCTATTTTTAAAAGATTTCTGCTGTCTGCAATCAACAAAAAAAATGCTTTATTTGGGTATCAAATCAATCTTTTTAAGAAGTTTGAAATTTCAGCTCAAACAGTTTAACGGGAATGATTGTTTGCGCAAGCTTTAATCCAAACTCTTCGTATTTGAATTTATGAAAATTGGACAATTCTAATTGAAAGAAATGGCAATGATGAGAGAACAGAATTAATAGATAACAGATTATTTTAAAAATTTGAATTGACCTTGAGCGAACATATATTTTGAAATTTCAGTTAGAGCCTATTCAAAATCCCATCTACAATAGGAATAATTCCATATCGCAACGCATATTTCCACTTTTGTGTCTTGACTAATCCATTGGATGAGAACTTAACATATTGACCGATTTGTAGTTTTTTTCACATTCTCTTGACTAGTTGTGTGGCGCAACACTTGAAAAAAATATGTGCAGAGAGAAAAATAATGTATAAATTCATTAATTTTTAATATATAATTCAGGAAATATTTTCCAGTTGGAATAGAAACATAAAATACTTTGCCTAAAAAGAGAAATTAAATCAATTCTCCTAATATATTTGACAGTATCATTAATAGTATCGATAAGGTTATCCAAGTTATTTTCGTGGTAATTTGAATGGAATGGCCTATTTAGCAGTGGAAATCTAAGTAATCAAATACAAGCCAAGAAAACTGTAAATTGTTCTAATAAAAAATCAAAAATAAGTAGAAAAGGAATAATGGAAGACAAAAAGGATAGACAAAATCTATCACTTTTATATGCATTATGAATTTGTAGTACTGTGTGAAGCTGTCAATCAATCTGTTAACTTTTGAAAAGATGGGAAGAACTGTCATCAAAAAGTTTCGATGAATCGTGTCTGCATTGATTTTTTGAGATAAATATGCATGTAAAAAAGTAAAACTGTGTAGTTTCAAAAAGTAAAAAAATTTCTGAGTCCCAATGGACTTCTCAGACGTTCAATGCATATGTTTTCTCTTAAATTCTTGTTGTTAATACTTATCAATAGACCAGCGTTTGTCGGTTATTGGTACAGCAGCAATAGGAAATTAGATGGTTCCGATAAAGTAATTTAATTCTTGATAATTGATCATGTATGCAAAGTGATATTAATATTCTTGTCAAGGATCGATTCTCTTCATAGATATTTATATATAATTTTACTTAAAAATTTCATGTGTTCTCTTCCTCTATCTAGCAAGTAATAAATTTGAGATAGAGTAATTGAAATTAAATGTGCAATAATTAATTACGCATGGAAATGATATGAACACAAAGTTCACATAAGTTCATTGATGGTCCATTAGTAGAGTGAATATTTCTATATTGCTTTGTTCAAGAAAAGCATAATTTAGAATGCTCTATCTTATACTTTAGTATAGGAATGAGGTATGCTTAGAGAGATAAGTAGACATTTACCAAAAAAAAGGGACAAAAATTAAAAACATCTACGAAATGAGATTTAGTGTTGCAAGTTCAGTTATTGATTCTTTTCTGGAGCTTGGCATGACCAGAAAATTTTTAAATAAATTCAGTTCGATATCGCAAATTTCTCAAGCGGGTCATTCGAAGAATTCGAAGTATTTTGAAAACTTGAGTAAGATCAATTCTTTGTCATCTAAAACTTCAAATATATCCCATTTTCACAGTGAAAATTTGATGCCTTCATCAAACTCTGACAGTCCTAGCGATTCTAACAAATTTACGACACAGTGTTGTAAGTAACACAGGCAATAGAAGAAGCAATAAGCGCACACAGAAAATAAATCAGAAGAAACAGTCAGTTCGGGAACCAACCGATGGATCAAAAAAAACTTGAAAATTATGCACTTACATCAGTGCTGTTAGAAGAGAAAAAATAGGAGCATCGAGTGGAGAAACGTATATTAATCACATTTAGAGCTTTTTGATCTAACTTCCCCGAGACGTAAGAAACTTCACATAATCTCTATTCCGCATGTATCTAAAGAAAGAATAAAAATTAAAGAAACAATCGAAAAAGGCGATACGTGAAGGAAATGATTTGCAATGCTCTAAAGTAGCCGAACTAATAGGAAGTATGGAATGGAAAAAGAAAGGGTAACTGCCGGAAGGAAAACAGACTGCACTATTGTGGTGTAGTATATCGGTCGGAAAATGCGCCAAAAATGTACTTTGCTATGCGCAACCTGGCACCGAAATCGAAATTGGGAACACGACAAAAGAAAAGAGAAGAGGTGGAACGATGGATTCGGGAGCATAATAGGGATAGAGAATGCGACGGGAACTGAAAGCACTACGACTTCTCCCGACTCCATCCTTCTCTCTCCAGAAGGTGCTCCCTCATTATTCCGAGTACAACAAAGCATCACCCACTTCAATCTCTTCTTTTATCTCTTTCGGACGTTTCTAAACAAATCTCAAATGTTTCTCCTACAGATCGCTCGAAAAACGACAGCTTTAAGCTCCACAGTTCCAAAAAACCTAAATTCTTGCAATGACAGATTAGGATTTCCAAGTTAAGAATACAGCTTAAATTAAAGTTATCTTTGGCTTATGAGGAAAACTTCATTCTGCGCTGCTTTAGTCAAATCATTTAAGACGCATGAAACGAGAATGGAAATTATTTCTTGAATCTTTCTGCGAGTTTAACATTTTCTGATCATTGCGTTAAACTTTGAAGTCAGTGCAGTGTGTTCATTCACGTGGTCAAGAAACTAGGCATCATGTACACATGCTTGGTTTGCAATATATGATCTCAAAAGAACGACGAATAAGAATGATGATATTGTTGCAAACGACCGGAATCAGAGTTGCCATATAAGATTTAATGCTCACAGTTTAATTTCATAATATCGTTCTTTGCCATCATGTTTTTCCTTTTCAAACACTTCATTAATCCTTTCGCATATCTTTTTCTCATATTCCAATTATCTTATTTCTGCCACGAATTTTTTTCCTGATTTTCGATTTTCTCATTCACTCGCTTATCTTTTTAAAACTTCGTATATCCCTTGTACTGTAATGTACCTTTGCTTCTGCATTTTTTAGGACCATCTTTTTGCATCTATGAGGTGTAATCTCATAGAGTGCGAGTCCTAATAGGTGAAGAAGGTTCTTTGAAAAAAGATCTAAGATTCATTCAAAGTTTATTGCACTGTATGGTACAAAAGAATTTTGAAAATACATTTTAAGCTTGCTTAATTCATAAAAATTTGTCTTTACCTTACTGGCCTACTATATATCCATTGATAATAACACAATGTAATATCAGAATTTTAAAATTATTAATGTAGTATCAGTTATGAGTATTCAATTAAAATCACTTTCTTTATCATTAATCATTTACTTTCAATTTTATCTAAATTCTTCTAACCTATTAGCAAAAACCTAACTGTAATAAAAATAACTTTCACATACTCCAAGGTTTCAAAAATGGAATGAAGGGATAACATTAATCCAAATCACTCCACATCGTATCATTCGAATTTCTAGGCATTTGGAACGAATTCAGATTCGATTGTGCTCCATAACGAAAAACTCGTCGACATTTGAGCGACTGTCGTCGGATTGAGTCAATTCGTGATAGTGGGGAAACAGTTAAAAGGAGGCCACTACGACGCAAGCGTTCATGAAGTGCTCGGTGATCTGCGTTCGGTGACTGTAAGAAATAAATATTTTCCATTTAGGTCATTTTCGATTTAAATCTAAACAAAAAGTCTTTATGTATGCCATTTATTGATAAACCGAAAAACCTCGTAGTAAATATTCTCAAATCAAAATTACGGGTCGACAGTTGATCGTTCCTTGTACTAAGCATAAAGTGTCTTCTAACACACTATTTTATTTTAACAAATATCGAAAGTATTACTTCCTCATTATACTGCTGCTTGAATCGTTTATAATGTTCATAAACGATAATTGACATACACATTAGTTTCAACTGTGATAGATTCATTTCGTGTGCAAACACCAAGAAATGAACAATCTTATCCAAGACTAGAAAATCCTAAAACTGTCGTGAAAAAGCAAGCTCATAACTGATAATTTATTTCGCCATAAAAGTTTAGCTTCTGAATTTTTTTAGCATATTCAGGTCAAAGAATTCTATTTCATTGGAAATTATTTAGGCAAATAATTTTTCCAGAGCTTATTCATCCCAGAATAAAATTTGCAAAAGGGAAAATAAAAAATTTTTTTGTAATATTACCTTCACCAACAATTTGCAAAGAGCACGATGAATAGTATTTCTAAGCGCATCACGATTTAATGGTTTAAAATGCATTGTTATATCAATTAGCTCTCTAGCCAATTCCGGTGTCAAATTGTCTGGCATCTCAAATGTACCCGTAATCATAAATACTAACACCTAAAAATGGAGCAAGTTTTTTCATAGAATTATACTTGTCCACTATAAAATACTTTTTCCATGAATTTCGGCAATTCTCAAACTATAATATCTAAATTTGCGATGGGTAGAGATAATTTTTAATATGACGATTTATTTTTTTACGAGACAATTTTTAATCTTAATTTTTTGTAGCTTTAATTCATTGCAATGTTAAGAATACCTTGCGAACGGATTCCAGATTGTAATCGGGTACTGACTGTTCTTTAGACATTAATCCTTCATCATTTGCAGTGAACAAAAAGCGAAAGTAATCGGAGCTTAAGAACAATGCACTTTTCGATATTTTAAGATCGCCATCCCGACAATGTATGGTAAAATCGCTGGAAAGAGTGTAGCGCCATTACGTTGTAATTCTAAAGGGAAAATTTCTTATAATAAAAACTAAATAAATTTCAATTTCCACCTTAGCATGTATTTAAGTGAAAAACATCTTAATATTTTTAAGAATTATCATTTCACATTCATCACCGATTCTATTTAGATATCTGCTAGTAATGACTGCATAAGCAATAAATCCATTTATCAGAATCGAGAAGAGATATTATCTCGTCCATTAATAATACTCTTTTATCAATATTAAAGAAAAAATGAAAACAACTCACGCTCCTTCACTGTTGAGAACTTTGAAGCGAAAATCGTTTGTGATATCAGCAGGCGGTGCTGGAACCATACTCATCCAATTACTAAAGCCCAAATTAAAAGACTCTGTACTGAATAAAAGGTCAACCGTAATCACGATTGTTTTCCCTGAAACATATCACAATAATATCAGTGAAGATTTTAAAAAATAGTAGAAATGAAATGAAAATTATTTTTTGGAAAGATTTGCAAATTTAACTCGATTTAGATAGCTTGCCAGCCTCAACCGCTACAGAAATAGAATAAAATGTGAATTTCATCTTATTTCGCGTAATCCCCAACAAGATTTGTATTAGTGGAGATATCATATACCACTATTAGACTGATTCGTGAAACACTGCGTTAACGACTCCACAAACTGTGAATCTCTAGGCACTCGAAAACTGTCCATTGATGAAAACGTCGTCACAGAACGCACAGCGGTTACACTTCCTACAGGCAAATGCAGATATAATGAAGCAGCTAGCAAAACTGAATTTCAAATATTATTTTATCGATTGCGGTGTCCCTCCCATGCGACATACTCTTAAAACTGGCTCTGACCATATTTTTTATGTCTGAGAACGCAATCTTTTATTAATCCGATGAAGTAGTATTCTTAAGGAATATTTGAATTTTCAAACGTCTAAATCTTTGTTTCAAATTTAAATTTGCAATTAGTTAGAACCATTGCAGACGGGTTTTTTGACTAAATTTTTTCCGTCATTCGTCACAACATAGCAACGCATAACTGCAACAACAGCTTACACATGAATTAGTACATATAGGCATACCAGCTTTACACAACACTTCGATTTTGCTGATAAATCTCCAATCTGTTTCATTAAAATAAGGTAAGCATTAAAAAAATGAAAAAGCTCATGCACAAAACTTCAAAAATTCAACAAACTATAAAACGAACCATGATAAGTATCATCTTCCAGCAGTCTGAACGAAAATTTACATTCTTTAGGAGATGGATGAGTTGTTACCACCCTACTTTGTTCCAAATATAGATGTATCCTAGGTCTCGATGGTACACCAAAGTTGGTCCTGTATAAATGTACCATCCTGGAAGGAATTCCAACACTTGGGTTCAAGCAAGATACCAGAAATAAAGTCATGTACAACACATGCCCCGGAAGTAAGGGTTTGAAGCGGCGAAGTCACAGTATTTAAAACATCAACTTCGCCACAATTAATCATTGAATAGGAAAATATGAAAAAGTTTGATACCATTCATGACTAGCATTTCGATAATTAGTGCAGAATGTTTCGGTATCACCGAAAACATTGAAACCATTGACCGGTTGAAAAATCTGTACTGACCAATCATAAACAAACGTTATTTCTGTAGGGTCCTCATCATAAACTTTCGCAACGGCTCCCATTTTAGAAAACAGACCCACTCGGCTAGTCAAAAAAAATGAATTAACCAGAAAACGTACATTGCATGTCTATTCAGTATTTTAAATACAATCTTAATTTTTTGCATTTATTCAAATTAGAGAAATATAAAACTTCTGCAGCCACATTCAACGCAAGCAGTTATACCAAGTAACAATCACTAAAAATGCAATTGTCAGGTAACTTTTCTGAATGAATAAAACTCGACTCTGATAAAACCAAGTTTCTGTTCGAAACTTTCCAAGTATGCAAACTATCGTCATAAGCGTCCACCTTTTTCCATCAAAAAATTATATCCCAAATACTACCGAGGGAAGCACGAATATACTTGCAGTCACAAATTATTTTTTCGAGTTTGCTAGGGAAATTATAGAATTCAGATTCCGTGCTAACGAAACATCTATCGAAAGAGGAGCCCTAGTCAACACTGAAGCAGATATTTTTTTTGCTCAATAAGGCAGAAAATTTTGGATTCTGCCAGCTTCTTCAAGATAGGACCGCCCACTTAGCTGCAAAATTTAAAACTTCCTAATTGAAATTTACCGTATCATTCAATATATATCTGATAAATTAATCACTAATATTTAGCAACTTTATATTTTATAAAGCAAAACATAGAAGTTTTAAATTTTGCAGCTAAGTAGGCTAAGTAATATGAACCAAAAAAAGAGTAAAACTTTTCAGGAACCAAAAAAAGAGTAAAACTTTTCATTTATAAAGACCTATGAAAAAATAAAATCTCATAAGAGGATGTAAAACAATCTTAAACACCTATTTGAATCAAGCTATAGTAAAAAGATAAGCAGGTTAAAATTTAGTTTATTCAGAACAAGGTTTCCTTAATAATTTCTTTGATAATAAAGTTGTAAGGCGACATGAAAGAGATTTACACTGCCATTGCCATTTTAATTGTTGGCATCGGCCGGTAATTTTCAAGAATAATTGAATCATAAGTGAAATCATCTATTGTCTTGATATTTCCAACGAATCGAACAGTAGGAAACGGTCGCGGCTGACGTTTGAGCTGCAAAATACGTTACAGTTGCTGAAAACTGCCGCAATAAGCAATGAAAATCTAAAACAGTCAAAATCAACCTGTTCTTGCAGAGCGTCAACATGATTCACATATACATGAGCGTCGCCCAAAACATGACATAGCTGACCAGCCTGAACACAAAATTCGTTAGGAATCTCGAAAATTTCAAGTCAATCTGCGAGAAAAACAATAGATCGCACCTTAAGATCACAGATATGTGCTATCATATGCGTCAGAAGTCCATAGCTCGCTAAATTAAAAGGCACTCCCAAACCCTGAAAATAAAAATTCAAATATCAAAAGCTCTGGAGTAATCAGACTGCAAAGAATTATAAACTGATATCAAAACTAAACCATGTCTCCGGAACGTTGATATAACTGACATGAAAGTTCACCACTACGCACCGCGAATTGAGCAAGAGTATGACAAGGTGGTAAAGCCATCTGCTTCAAATCTAAAGCCAGTAAAGCCATAAATTTCAAATCCAAAGCATATTATAAAAAAAAAGAAACAAAAAAGTTTTTTAGAAGAGAAACCATAAAACCAAAATAACACCTTTAACATTCCAGGCATTGAGTATGATACGACGACTGTGTGGTTCATTTTTGATCAGATTAATGATTTCAGATAACTGGTCGACACCTTGGTTGGTGTAGTCAGCATCCATACCTCGATATTCAGCACCACAATGTCGCCACTATTAAATTATTTTCTCAACATTGTTGAAGAAATTATCGAAAAAGTGATAATGAAACGCAAATTAATAAAACAAATTCAAAAGATAATGTAGTGAAAGTGAAATAAAATGAAGTCAGCCAACAGTCCTGATGCTATGGTATTTAATGAATGCCATTCATGAACAATAAACATTCGATACAAGAAATCAAGCTCCACCTGGAAACCATAAACGGGCCCTAAATCTCCTTCAGACCGATCATTGAAGCCACATTGGTCTAGGAATTGTCGAGATCCATTGGCATCCCAAATCTTGACACCTTTTTCAGACAAATGCTTTGCATTTGTATCTCCTCGAATGAACCATAACAATTCTTCAACAACTCCTTTCCAGTAGACTCGTTTGGTTGTCAATACTGGAACGACACCTGCAAAAAAGCTTTATAAGTATCGAACTTACTACATGAACCAATGTTTTAACAAATAAAGTACCATCATTTTCAACTTCAACAGTATTCTTTCAAATGATACAGAAGCCTTAGAAAATCTTGAACAAATCTTTCCACAGCAATAATATATTTGATTTTAGCATGAAGAAATTTCTTACCATTTCGAAGCGAATAAATGGAGTGCATTCCAAATACAGAAATCGTCCCAACACCGGTTCGGTCATTGATTTTTTCGCCATTCTTCAAAATATATCTAATCTGACCCAAATATTTGTTTTCATCTTCATTCACTAATACATCGGCATCTCCTTCAGCATTACTGGGATCCCTCAAAGATTCCATCCCTCACCTTTAGACTACCAACACCATATGACCCGAGATAAATTTCCAAACAATTTAAAACCTGGCGCTAAACGGTGAATGTTTTTGATATGGCAATCGCTGCCGCGATATGTAGCCATTTTATCCCATCATTAAAAGTTTCATATCTGTTGAATGAAAGGAAGTTCATCTATTAAAAAGAAATCTCGAGAATGAAAAATGGATTCTGGTCTTAACATACTATATCACTTCTGTGCTGCTTTTAAGGAAAGAGGAAAAGATGCGCTTCTTAGCACAGAAGCTGACAATTTTAGCAAATAGAAGTTTATCTGAAGAAACTATCTAACTTACCCGCAAACAGTAAGCTGATAGTTTATATAACGCGTCTTAAAATCCAATCATTTTCGACCGCTATTCAAGAAAAATATATTTTATAGACTTTAAGAATCGATGAAATTTGGTAGCTGTAAAAGAGAACGAAAAAAATTGGCGTAATTTTTTCGGAATTTTATGATTTGATGATTCTACTTGAATGTTCCGAAGAAAGGTTAGTATCTTTCAAGGTAAACTTCTATTTTTAATGTTCCCTAATTAATAATTGACTATGGATGTGTATTCAATTTTGTATGGCCAAGTATTGAATGAGCAAAATAGTGCAATGATCCTTGCAATTATATATATCATAAATAGTCCAAGTTTCGAAAAAAAATTCAAAGATAGGCCTGGAAATTTTTTTGCTTGAGAATTTTTATGATGTACCATAGAATTTTTTTTGGAAAAATTATTTTCGCTTAAGGATACTATATCATTGTGGACTGAAAATTGAGGAAGTTCTATATTCTAGAACCAAATGCTAGCAAATAAGCTTGGCCCAGGATAACACGATGAGAATTGTGCGATATAATTTGTAAGAGCTGATTAATTTTGACGTTATACACTTTAGTAGCAACTCCATGCCTTATGGAATTTTACAGTGAAATGCCGTTTAAATAGGTGATTCATAACTATATGTCATATCAATCACAAAATTTCAACAACTTCTGACAAAAAATGGAATGAATTCGAAGAAATGATGCCATTGATAAAAAATAGATGAAGAAAAAAAATAATGATCTTAAATAAATAAAAGCTTTTATGGATTTAAAAAATTTCATTCTTTATATATTTCATTTTAATGAATGGTTGTTGTGTGGGAGAAAAGTTCAAATGAGAGAAATAATTCGCAATATATATCATTATTATCCTGATTTCGTTGGTATAATTTTTATCACTTTGTGTTCTATTTTCCTCTTATAGCAAAGTTCGATTGAATGCTTTCTAAAGCGATGAAATATATCATTTAATCTAATTTCATAAGATTTTAATTGAGAAACTTTTGAAAATATGAATTCAGATATCGTTTTAGAAAATTTTTTGATGATCAAGAAGAGTCATGAGATATCATCAGTGTCTTCTTCTTCATCAAATGATACAATGAATGTCCATTTGACATTTTATTTAAAGACAATGGCAGATTCCTTTATTGGAAAGCTACTGCTTTTTCCACTAATGAAAATACAAATCCCATCGAATTGGTTAAAATCTTTAGTTTTTTTATTCCTTGGAAAGAATAGTACTTATGACATATAAATTAAATCTGAAATTTAATTTGCAACTTGTTTTAATTGCATTTTGAAGAAATCACTGGCAGAGATGCAATTTTTCACCGATAAAAAACTTTTTGCAAATTGTAGGCGAGTACCGAAGTGTGATAAAACCGGATGCAAAGGATGGTATTGCAAAAACGATGAACATAACCAAAACATACAAATTATCATTAGAACTTATCCCGAATGATATCATGTCCATTTGAACAAATAGCGCAGTTTGGTCATTCTTCGAATGAAGTTTTTTACCTCCGCCCTTAGTATCTCATCTTGATAACAGCACTCCACACTTATAATTGAGTTGAATCAAAGGGATGGATTAAGAAGTGTGGCAGACTCTAAGTACGGCAAACAGTCCATAGGTTGTTAGCCGGTTGCGATTTTGCCTTTATTTGTTTACGCATTAATTAGAACGCCGCATTGCTTATGGACCGTCAACAATACGGAGCTGGAATGCGACAGGGTGAGGGCGAACCCGGATTGTTTGCGCAGCAATACCTTTCTCCCTACTGCACTACCAGCACAACTTCACTAACGGGAATAAGTGTTAATGGATTTATTAATAACCAAACTCCTCCTGTTGGTCATTCTGATATGCGGCATTAGTCCATAAAAATAGATATCCTATCCGTATCACATCTGAAATATAATTACGATTGTTTTTAAGCGAAACACCCATTTATTGCACATTAAAAATTGTGAGCAAGGAGAAGATTAAAAATGTTTTTAAATTGTATATGGGTATATATGTATATGTGTATGGTTCCATATGGATGTATACATATGGTTTATGATGGATTTAAAATTTGGAAAAAAGAACAGAATAAAGCCTTATGTGATATGGAAAATAATTATAAAATAAACATTCCAAGTTAGATATTAGAAATTATTGGAATTACATTAATTCAATAAATATTCTATAGCTTCGATAGAATGTATTCAAAATAAAAAATTAAACCCCTAAAATAGCTAATTAACTTCAACATATAATGGCATATCTGAACTGATATACATACAGTTAATGAGTTAATCTTCGGTATTAATGTAGAGATGAGATGAATTGATTACATTAGCGCTTTTCATATTGTATTGAATAAGTGAAGAGGAAAATTTGAAGATCTCATACTTTCTTTGCATAGGAAAAAATAGATCGAAAAGTTTTGGTGAATGACTGCATGAACTGATGATGGGTCAATGTCACTTGCCAATCCGATAGAGAAATCTTGTAGAGAGAATGTCACATTTCGACAATTCACTACTACCATCATTCCCATCATCACTATAAAGCGGACACCATTTGCTGGGCGAAATTTCCGCGTCTTGCCCCATTTTGTTGTCTACACACCTGGACATGATTAAATATACATATATAGAAAGAACACTGCAATGTTTCAAAGATTAACAAATTTTTAACGTAAACTGAAATGAATAATTTTACGTAATTTCAGGTAACACAAACGAAACAAATAGAGCTAGCT